CTGTGCCAGGTAAGTCCACTAGGGGCTCACCATAGCCCGTGCTACTTGCATCGCTCCTGTGCCAGGTAAGTCCACTACGGGCTCACCATAGCCCGTGCTACTTGCCCCGCTCCTGTGCCAGGTAAGTCCACTACGGGCTCACCATAGCCCGTGCTACTTGTCCCGCTCCTGTGCCAGGTAAGTCCACTACGGGCTCACCATAGCCCGTGCTACTTGCCCCGCTCCTGTGCCAGGTAAGTCCACTACGGGCTCACCATAGCCCGTGCTACTTGCCCCGCTCCTGTGCCAGGTAAGTCCACTACGGGCTCACCATAGCCCGTGCTACTTGCCCCGCTCCTGTGCCAGGTAAGTCCACTACGGGCTCACCATAGCCCGTGCTACTTGCCCCGCTCCTGTGCCAGGTAAGTCCACTAGGGGCTCACCATAGCCCGTGCTACTTGCAACTTGTTCTGAGTAGCCGAATTTATAACAACAACGTAAGAAACAAGTCGACTGCAAAAGGCCTATTTATATGGGGGGGGGGGCTCGATTCAAATCAGAGGCCCACGGAACTGGGGTGCTGCTGTCTTAAAAATAAACTTACTACGTAAACATTCGAGTGGCTTCCCTACAATGTTGCCTTTTAGTTTCTGCCAAGGAGGAGCAGAGAAGCGTTGTTTACATAAGTTGGTTTAGGGGTAAGGTTATACACAAGGAAACAAAGAGTGAGTGTAACTGGAGTTACGTCACAACGGGAAGCTGTTGTAAGTGGAGTGCCTCAAGGCATCCTGGGACCTCTGTTATTTATATTATATATAAATGATTTAGATTTGGGTTTATGCAACAGTTGCCAATTTGCCGACGATACAAAAATTGGGCGGGATATAAACTCCGGAAGATAACTTAAAATCACTGCAATTTAATGTTACTCAAACCCAAGTTCGCCTCGCTCCAAGACCGGCCTGTCCCCCATACCCATGTCTTCTTGACATGGAAGGTTATCTTGAGATGATTTCGGGAATTTAGTGTCCCCGCGGCCCGGTCCTCGACCAGGCCTCCACCCCCAGGAGGCGCCCGTGACAGCTGACTAACACCCAGGTGCCTATTTTACTGCTAGGTAACAGGGGCATAGGGTGAAAGAAACTCTGCCCATTGTTTCTCTGTGCTGTCCGCTCGGCCGACCGGCTCCCTATCTATCGATTGTCTATCCAATCTATTCCACAAGAAATATCTTAGTCAATTAAAATCAGCTTTTTGGAAAATCTGGCACCTTAACCTAATCCTCTCTAACAAATCTAATCCATTCTATGCTAAATCTGATTTCCTTGTGATCACTATTGTTGTTGTTTTAGATTTAGCTAATCAGAACGAAATGTTCATGTAGCACGGGCTATGGTGAGCCCTTGAGTGAGTTCGGTTATTCACAATAACCTTGTTACTGTGATATTTGGGTCAAAGTTTTAAATGGAAGTAGAGTTTCCTCCTTTCCCCACGTTTCTCGCTCCTGTTTTAGCGCACCTGGTATCTAATTACTGCTAGGTGAACAGTGGCATTAGGTGAAGGAACACGTGACCAACCATGTCTGTCCCGCCCGGGAATCGAACCCAGGATTCCCGAATGTGAGTAGAGAACGAAGCCAACTGCAAAATATAAATCTGCATGGCCAGTGTTGAACAACAGCGAACCTGGGGCCAGATTCACGAAGCAGTGACGCAAGCACTTGCGAACCTGGGGCCAGATTCACGAAGCACTTACGCATGTACTTTCGAACGTGTACATCTTTCAGCAATCTTTGACGGCTTTGGTTACATTTATTAAACAGTTTACAAGCATGAAAACTTGCCATTCAACTGTTGTTATTATTATAAACAGCCTCCTGGTGCTTCGGAGCTCATTAACTGTTTAATAATTGTAAACAAAGCCGCCAGAGATTGAGAAAAGATGTACAGGTTCGTAAGTGTTTGCGTAAGTGCTTTCGTGAATCTGGCCCCTGGTCAGGCCCCTTGTACACCCAACAGCCTGGTTGACCAGTCCAGTAACGAGGAAGCCTGGTTGAGGACCGGACCGCAGGGACGCTAAGCTCCGAAATCTCAAGGTAAGGTATCCTAGTAATTGTTGCGTCGCTATTCAAAGGCAGTGTTGGTCGCATCAGAGTTAAGTTCAAGGGACATTCTTGTGAGAATCTTCCGCGTTCTCAATGAACTCGCATTGCATCATACAGACCCAACAACAGTTGTTCAGGATGTGTGGTGCTGCCCAATGTACCAATCCGTTCTCGCACTTTCTTACAGTCAATATTGACTTATTAAATACGTGCATGTGAGACATACTAAACATACTAGTTTACCTTGAAAAGCTTCATAGAAAACACCGACCTCACCTAACTTTCTTAGTATGTTAAGATAAGCATCTTATTGCTTCGTAATTACAATTATTACTTAACCTATACCTATAATAAAAGACGACAATTGCTTCGTAATTACAATTATTACTTAACCTATACCTATAATAGGTTAAGTAATAATTGTAATTACGAAGCAATAAGATGTTTATCTTAACATACTAAGAAGGTTAGGTAAGGTCGGTGTTTTCTATGAAGCTTTTCAAGGTAAACTAGTATGTTTAGTATGTCACATATGCACGTATTTAATAAGTCAATATTGACTATACGAAAGTGCGAGAACGGGATGCATATACTCGCCCCTCAAGACAAAATTTATAAACAAATTAAAGCTGTTTGGTTGGCTAACTCTTTCTGCGACACTTCTTTCAAAGTAAAGAGTATTTTTATTCATTGTTACATTTGGAAATTATTAAATAATTATTACTGATACATCAGACTATCCGAAAAACACGAAATACAACACTAAATAGTGGATATAACTTGGATATGTGTAGATTTAGGAAAGACCTGGGTAAATACTGGTTTAGGGACTGGACTATTGCAGACGACAAGTCACAATAACGTGGCTGAAAGATACAGCCAAAACACACATCAGAAAGTGAAGAAACGACGACAATAGTACATAAGAACAAGATAACTGTAGAAAGCCTAGTGGCCCATACGAGGCAGCTCCTATTGGTCCATACGAGGCAGCTCCTATTGGTCCATACGAGGCAGCTCCTATTGGCCCATACGAGGCAGCTCCTATTGGCCCATACGAGGCAGCTCCTATTGGCCCATACGAGGCAGCTCCTATTGGCCCATACGAGGCAGCTCCTATTGGCCCATACGAGGCAGCTCCTATTGGCCCATACGAGGCAGCTCCTATTGGCCCATACGAGGCAGCTCCTATTGGCCCATACGAGGCAGCTCCTATTGGCCCATACGAGGCAGCTCCTATTGGCCCATACGAGGCAGCTCCTATCTATAACCACCCAATCCCACTCATAAACATGTCCAACCCACGCTTGAAACCGAAACGGATGTGGTTTCTATACTTTGATGCAGGGCTGTCGATTTAATAGCATATGATTCAATAGCATTTAATAGCAATCGACTTGAGAATGGTCCAGGACGGACCGAAACGTCGTCGTCCCTTCACCTTCTAGTGTGTGGTCTGGTCAACTTTAGCCACGTTATTGTGACTCATCGCCTGCTTAATAGCATATATTACCGGGTAATATAATCAACGTGGTATCACTAGATTGTTTCAAGCGTAGGTTAGACATATATAAATTATTTTGAATATGTAAATATGAGCTTCCACGTATAGGCCAAAAGGCATTCCGGAGTTTTCTGAATTCTTAAGTTCTTAAACCTGTCACATAAACCTTACAACCCTTTGCCACCAGTACAAAATAAACCACATTAAATTTAACTAACATTATGATAACTGGAACGATCACCCGTTATCTTGAGGTTATCTTGAGATGATTTCGGGGCTTAGCGTCTCCGCGGCCCGGTCCTCGACCAGGCCTCCTTTTTTGTTACACACCCCCAGGAAGCAACAGCTGTCTAACTCCCAGGTACCTATTTACTGCTAGCTGAACAGACTCTGAACAGCAGCATCAGGGGTGAAAGAAACTCTGCCCATTTGTTTCAGCCTCCGCCGGGGATCGAACTGCTTAGCACTACGAACCCCGAGCGCTGTTCACTCAGCCGTCAGGCCCCCGGTTATGTTCTAGCAAGTGCCAGTTGTCGAGGCAATATATATTCTTTAATCTCTTAAGATAGCCGCGGTGAGCTGTGTCCATTACGTGGACACAGAGGGAGACAACATCCGCTGTCTGGATAAATTGTTGTGACATTTCCTACGGGAATGGTCGAAAAAAATGGAGTAATATTGTACACGTGGACAACTCCCTCACATACCTGAACAGACACCTGGATAACACGCTCACACACCTGACCACGCCCCTGAACAACACACACACACCTGACCAGACCCCTGAACAACACACACAAACCTGACCAGACCCCTGAACAACACACACACACACACCTGACCAGACCCCTGAACAACACACACACAAACCTGACCAGACCCCTGAACAACACACACACACACCTGAGCAAACCACTGAACAACGCACACACCTGACCAGATCCCTGAACAACACACACACACCTGACCAGACCCCTGAACAACACACTCACACCTGACCAGACCCCTGAACAACACACACACACACACCTGACCAGACCCCTGAACAACACACACACACACCTGACCAGACCCCTGAACAACAACACACACCTGAGCCCCACACACTAACTCACCCCCAGCCATAGTGCCAAAGGGGAAACCAGCTGGACCATAGCTAAGACCGCTTCCTCTGACTGTACAGCTGCCTGGCACCCGTCAATCAGGCCTGTCCACGCCACTCCTGTCACCAGGGCCATCACGGCCCTCAGAAAACGAGTGCCCAGCTGCAGACATCCATTCACGACGTGAAGAACAACAGTGCCACTATTTGGCACTACCCCTCTTCCTTCCCCCCCCCTGGTCGCTAATATGACAGCTCCCCCTTTCCTAATGGGTGACATGATGAGTGGCCTCGAGAGGGTGATAACTGACCTGGCTAGCGGAGAAGAAAGGGGCGGATAACCGTGAAGGAGCAAAAAAGGGGGTTTGGACTTGGTCTCCGGCGCGACGTCCGGCCGCTACTGAGGTTCGGTAAACACTGCCAGGCTCGCGCTAGTCCGGCTATCGATGCTGCCACTATACACCTTCATTAATTCCAACCTTCACTCTACATATATACACTCTTCTGTACTCTACACACACTCTACAACACGCTATTTGCTCTAGCATCTACCCCTCATACTCCTACACCAGCCTGTACTATCGCTACTGTAGAACGGATTTTATTTTCTAGGTGGTAACTCAAACAGCTGATTCTTGCCGTGTGTTTCATTTGTTTGTTGGTTTAATGTGCAGTTGTGGAGGAGCAGGCAGCCTTAGGCCTTATAGGCCTGGGGGGAGGCTGGTTATGTAGCCACAGTTGCTACCTCAACGGATCCTCACTAAACCTCTTCTCAAAGACTTTATAATCAGTGGAAATTATATTCTAATTAATAGCTAAGGACTAATATTAATGACATTATGCTTGTCTATATGTATATATGTATTATAATACATATAATACTAAAATAATTGAGGTTGGTAAAGAAATAAATTCTGGAGGTAATTGGAGATGTACATTTAATGTAATCGACATGTCTGGTGTTTGTAATGTGATGTGCTCACCTAGTTGTACTTGCGGTGGGATGAGCTCCAGCTCTTGGTCTGGCCTGTTAGTCCTCGGTTGACTGAATGTTTACAAGTTTATTGGCCTCTGCTCTACCTGCTTTGAAACAGTGTACGGAGGCTGTTTATACTATTCTAATCTTTTCACTGATCTGAGACAAACATTAATGTCTCCATACTTGGCTCATTGGGGGTACACTGCTTCTACTTGCGTACCTTTTGTTTGAGTGTATATATATATATATATATATATATATATATATATATATATATATATATATATATATATATATATATATATATATATATATATATATATGCTAACCATGCTAAATGGTCTGGTTTGATCTGCTCTTAATTACTATTGTCCTGATAACTTCTAATGTGATGATCATGTCATGATTCTCTACTCTCTTCCAGTGACGTGAGATTGGTTCTGTGTATCTATGTGTTTACGTATGTAGCTTAGCCTAGCATTTTAAAAGCACTACAATCACCTTCTGTGGTTGATTGTTCAATAAATCCCTGAACTGCATGTTTGACAAATCTCTCACCCTGTCCAGAAGAAAAGAAGACAGAAGAAAATGTATATATGCTTGTTAGCAGTGTAAATGTGTGGCAACGTCTGTGGTAGAAAATAATAATACAAAAAGTCTTTCCTCCTAACTCATATACAGCCTAGCCTGGGACTAGTCTGCTGGCATAGGGTACCTCTGAACTTTCTCCGGCTAAGTTGTTTTTGTTTAAGAGATATGAACGCCAAGCTGGTTCCGCAAATGTCAAATTTGGTGTGAAATGTGCACTCAAGTTCCTGAGCGACTCTCTATTCATATTGCCAAGGCCACTCTAGCTTGCAAATGCAATAATGCAGCTCATAATATTTGTCTAACGTGGAAATCTGGTGATATGCTCCATATAATATTAACAACTGATTCTTTTTTATTGTCCGATTCCCGGTTATCTTGCTTTGTGCCCAGCCTCCTGTTTCCAGCATCTAGCTTCATTACTGTACACTTGTTTGAATTAAACTCTAGTAGCCATTTGTTGGATCATTTTTCAATATTATGTATCATCGTATTTTCTGCATCGTCAGCTGTTGTTGTTGATAAAGATCTAGCTACTCAGGACGAAGTGTCCATGTAGCACGGGCTATGGTGAGCCCGTAAAAATCGTCAGCAAACATTCATAATAATTAGGAACAGGATAGGTCCAAGGTCGCGGCTGGCAACAGTCTGTCGCTAAGATGTTTCTACGTTGTAACTCCTGTTACAAGTATTCCCTCATTCCTGGAACATCTTCCTATTGATTGACTGATTAATTGAGAGATTAAGCCACTCAAGCGGTGGCATGGGCATGAATAACCCGTAAAATCTTGCTATGTCACTCCTGCTTATTTCTACTTTTTGTACACCCTGCCCACGCATGTCTTTTCGTATTTGATTTCGGTCGAGCGCTATCTGTCTTGTGAGGCAAGATTTACATTTCTTGCACCCATGTTGGTGTTGTTATATAGTCCCTCAAAGATGTTTCTACGAGCCTCGTATGGTCTTATATATGATATACAAGTAAAAAACTTGTACGTGTACATTAGAGCTTTCAGTGTTTCCATTTTCGAATATTAGCACTGCACTAGCTATCTTCTAACTTTCTGATAGTTCTCCTTTTCCCAATGACTTGTTATATATTATAATACATGTCTATCTTAAAGCTTCCGCTCCATTTGTTGGTATTCATGGTGGTTCCTATTTGCTCCCTCTGTCTTAGCTGTTTCTAGCTCCAAGTACCTTTAAGTTTCATTCGAAACTTAAACTACTGAAGTTTTGAGGATATTGGTTCAGAATACTTTTTTCAAAGGTCAGATGTAGCACATACAAGGGGAAATAGTTTCAAGCTCAACAAACCACAATGTAGGACAGAAAATAGATGCTTTTTCATGCATAGGGTTATAAACCCATGGAACTGCCTACCCGCCGAAGCCGTAAATGACAAAATATTACTAGTTCAAAATTCCGCTCGATAAAATCATCAGAAAAAATGGGGTGATTTTTGACAAGCCGCTGGCTTCTAGCTGTCCCAGTCGAGGTCACTAGTGATTGTGGCCTTTTTATGTAAATCTTTTTATGTTTTATGTAAATTTATGTAAATCTCAGTTGAGATAATTCCCCGCGCTCCACTTGGAAAGCCTCCTGGGGCCAGATTCACGAAGCAGTTACGCTAGTACTTACGAACATGTACATCTTTCCTCAATCTTTGACGGCTTTGGTTACATTTATTAAACAGTTTACAAGTATGAAAACTTCCCAATCAACTGTTGTTATTGTTATAAACAGCTTCCTGGTGCTTCGGAGCTCATTAACCCTCTAATAGTTGTAAACAAAGCCGCCAAAGATTGATAAAAGATGGACAGGTTCGTAAGTGCTTGCGTAACTGCTTTGTGAATCTGGCCCCAGGAATCTGCAGAATGTTGGGTTTTTGCTTTATTTGCAATGACCTACTAAAACTAAAGGGTAGTGGTCTGGTGCGCTAGCTTGGGGAGTACCAAGTGAGGGGGGTTCGAATCCTCCTCATGGCTCTTACTGATTTTCTCGTGTTGAAACTACCTTTCCAATTCCCTTCTCATTCTGAGACACTCGTCTCTAGCTCTACTATCCCTTTCGCTCGCTATAATTTGCTTTAGGCTTCCCAAAACGCAAAACGTTATAGCGGCTTTGCAAGAATATATTACTTAATCACTAACATATGCACATTCACAACCCATTGTACTGTCTTGTATATTTATAATATAAATAAATAAAACCTAATGTTTGTGTGTTTTAATTACTTCCTTACATGCTTGGTTAAACCATTTGTTTATGCTCTTCAATGTCCTCCCTTTACACACTAAATTTAATTCTTGGCTGCTTCTCGGAATTTCTGGTTGAAGACGTCCATAATTTCGTGTGAGGTTATACGGCGAGTTGTTTCCTATATTATCCGTGATAGAAAGTTTATTTCCGTAATCTATCCTAATTAAGGTATGTCAGCCTCCTACATCTCCTGATATTTGCCCTAAAAGGGGCATCCCTATTTTCACCAGATGTGCAGGGCTTCAGCAACTAAGGAAATGTAGATGTTTATCTCTCAGAATGTTTGGTAATACGTTTATTGTTTGTGAAGTGTATCTATGTATGTATTAACACGATGTACTGAACGGGGTGAGAATAGCTTGAGCTACCTCATCCCTTTGTGTGTATTTTACCTCAATAAACTTATTTCAATTTCAATTTCAGCAACTAAAGCATCAAACTCACCGTGCAACCAACAAAAGCAGCTGCATTAAATGCAAAGTCCACATCGACTAAAGTGGATTAAAAACGCAATTGAAGAATGGGACACACTAGTGAACATTGTGCATCTATATCCGCCCCCGTTATTAAAACGTTAATAACGTTATTTAAAGTTATTTAACGTTATTAAAACAAAAGACTAAAATGATATTCATAACACCTTCTGCTCTGCTAAATCTAAGTCGAAATCTTAATGGGTTTGTAACTCTGCACTGTGTTAGATAATGTTCTGTCGGGCATTTCTCCACAGTTCTGACATTTCCGCTCATCTTCCGGAACCTGTAAGCCTATTTCGCATGCACATGAGTATCCAAGACTAAGGTGTCAATAAGGCCTAGTCTGTCTGACCACTCATTAGACACTGGGAAGAGTAGGGGCCACTCCTACGCTGGCTATCTGCTATGGGACTCGTGTCCTGATTGATTGATAAAGATTAAGCCACCCAAGAGATGGCACGGGCATGAATAGCCCGTAAACTCGTGTCCTCTGAACACTGGTCTTATATACAGCTTCAGGCTATGAAACTTAATAAATTCAGCACATTAAATATTTAAACTCTCCTAGATGAAAACAAAACTATCATTTGAATTTACACCTCGAATTTTGTAGTCAAACGAATGCATTAGCTATCACATACCTATAATTAATACTAGATATAAGCTGAGCCAACTTTGCTCTGAACGCAAGGTCGGTCGGTCGGTCGATCTCTCTCTCTCTCTCTCTCTTTCTCATCCACATTTAATATCTCAACTCTTCACATGCATAAACACATCTAAAAAGGATTACATACAATAACAAGTGAAAATAAAATTAACACATAATAGAAACTCCTCACAAAGTAGGAGAGAAAGCCATGCAAATGGATGGATTGATAAATGATGTAGTCACATCACATAATTAAGTTTGGGCGACATATAACGCCGCCTAGATTTAATATGCTCACTGATCAATTATTTGTGTCCAGTTCAGCTGCATTAGCAATTGTGTGTAATTAGGAATCAGCTGTAAAAAGCCAAATAAATTGAAAAGAAAGTAACTGGACGCCATCAAACAATCCTGATATATGATCAAAATAGTAAATAGTATGATCATCGGCCCGTTATAAACA